CTGAAACCTGAAACCTGAAACCTGGGTCCTCATTTCACCCACCTCGGAAGGATGGAAGGCTGAGTCAACCTTGAGACGGTGAGATTTGAACAGCCGAACTGCAGAACTGCAGTCAGCTGAAGTAGCCTGCAGTGCTGCATTTAACCACTGCGCCACCTCGGCTCCTCCTTTTTCCTTGTAGACCGGTGTAAATAAAATAAATAAAAACTGTTTCTTCCCATTCCTGATAAATTTGTCCTTTCTCTTGTCCTAAAGGTGTCATGCCAAACCTGGAAACCAGGTTTTTGTTGCTCGAGATCTTTGGTAATAAAAGCTACCCTATAAGAAAATATCAGAGGATCATGTACTGGTTCCCTAAATTTAAGCATATCAATCCTTATCCCGTCCCAACTCCTCTGCCCGAAGATCCTATTGAACTTGCAACATTGAGCTTGCAGAGGATTGCGGCTGACCTGGATTCCAAGGTTACAGTTTATCAGGTAAAATTGAGAAATTTGCAATCCTACTGGTAGAGGAGATGATCTACTGTGCTGAGATTCAAATGATTAGTTTCTCCACTAATTCAAAGTACTGATGTTTCTTTTGAATGTAGTACCTTTCCTTTATCATGTGTCAAACGTTCAAATTCCTTAATGGAAAAACTAAAAAAATTTACAGTATGTGGGCCACTGGCTTTGTGTGGAATGTGTGTATAGATATATTCCTGAAATAAGAGAAAAAGCTTAATTATGAAAATCTTAACTTTTTAAGAGAAAAAAAACACCACCACAGTTTGGAGTTCTCAAAGTAAATGAAAGCTAAATCTGAAAATATTCTGGAAGCATGTAAAAGAAAGATACTTCCTTTCATTACCCATCTACTCCTCTACTAATATAGGTAGTCCTCAATTTATGAGAATTGAGCGCAAAATGTATGTTCTTAAGTGAAATTGGTTAAGTGAGTTTTGCCCCATTTGACGAATTTTCTTTCCACATTTGTTAAGTGAATCACTGCAGGTTTTTTTTAGTAATACAGTTGCTAAGTGAATCTGGTTTCCTCGTTGACTCATTGCTTGTCAGAAGGTCGCGAAAGGGGATCACGTGACTCTGGAACACTTCAACTGTCATAAATAAGAATCAGTTGCCAAGCACCCGCATTTTATTCACATGACCATGGTGTGCTACGACATTCATAAACGTGAAAAAACAGTTACAAGTCGCTCTTTCAATGCTGTTGTAACTTTGAATTGTCACTGAACGAACTGTTCTAAATCGAGGACTACCTGTATTTCATCTCCTAATCCTAATCCTGTTTCATTCCCACCCTTATCTTCTATTACTTAATGGCTTCCTGTAATTTATTATGTTGCTCCTTTAATAACTTTTGTGTCACCAATGAATTTAAACTATCTTTAACGTTTACAGACCTCCCACTCGGAAGTGCTAGATTCTGGGAAAGAAATCAACCATCCACATATCGTAGGTACTGAATTCTTTCTGTCGTTTTTTTTCTCTTTGTGCTGACTGGACAATCTCCGATTTGAGGACCAAATGAATATGCAACAAAATGGGGATTCCCGTCATAATGTCTGTAGGTGCCACTGTAACCGCAAGTAAGACAAGGAAGCTTCTTTTAACTATGTTCAAAATGAAAGGAAAAGAAAAGAATCTTTATCAGCTGCTCAGAGAAGGCTCAAAGGCAACCAAAAGGCATTGCTGTTTAATTGCAGCTTCAGTTTTATTCAACATAAATGAAATTGTGAAGGGCAGGATAAAATCCATTCTTTCATCCAAGCTCGTCCTGCTGCTTGATAGTACAATTCCCAGTTTGGTAATCCAAATCCACCTCGAATCATTGCATCTTGCAACATTTTTATGTTAATTTTGCCTCCCCCCCCCCTGCCATATATATTTCCCTACTATTTTATTCATACTTTCAAAGAATTTTTGCTCTAGTTTTATTGGTATTGTTTGCAATAGGTATAGCAATCTTGGTAATATATTCATCTTTACTATTGCTATTCTTCCCATC